TCACAACTCTCCTTGTATTGAGTGTGCTGTGTGGAAAGGGTCTCGCCTGTAGCTACGATTACCATTACGCAAATGCTCTACCTTTTTTTTTTTTCATTATTATTACTTCAGGACTTCCTTTGCAATGCCTCCAAAAGACCGTTACAGTACGCCCACACCTTACAAACCTCAACACGAAGCCGTCTGGATATCAAGGCCAGCTGTCTGTTTGAATGCAAATTTCCAGATCAATGTGGTTCTGGTTTCCGCAGTACCTTCAAGCATGCCATTGCAATCAATTCTGCAAATGCTTAGTTAACCTCGGCGCAAGGCCCAAGGTGTTTACTTGTCGGCTCACGGTGGCCCCCCGTTTGCCTCCCAAGTGCTGTATACGGATGAGATGTGCCACAAAATAGCGCATAAAATGTCAGATTACTGAGTCACTCGTGTGCCATCTGGATGCTATTATGCAAACTGGTTTGCAAGGGAAGCAGTCATACGTAAAAGAAAATGGCATGGGTAATCATTGGGCGACGCTACCCGGTGAAACACCGGAACACCGCCGTACCCTACGCGACAGGTTTTACATTTAATCCGGCCTCTGCATTTGACTGACGCAGTTGGAAAACACACAGCTGCGACCTAGGCGAAGTGCTAGAAAACATCCATTTAGCAATTTAGATGGGGACCCTGTTTAACCCAACAATCTGGAAAGCACGTCAATCACCGTTAATCAGCTATATGATTAAACCACAGCAGTTTGAGCTAATGATGATGGCAATAAGTAAGGGACACTGAGGGACGCCAGACCTTCTTGCTTAGCTCCATTTCGTTAACCTTCATGGTCGTTGACACAGCGAGTGGGAAGGTTATTTTAAAACGTCCGCTCAAGGATGCCGTGATGATGTATCGAGATGTTAAGCAACCTGATGGCTTTTAGAGGTCAGGGGTGATGCAAGGACTCATCCCGAGTACTGTACACGATATCTAATTAGACCTGAGATTACAGCATTACAGTTCAGACTCTTAATGAGCCATATTTTTGCGCCGATAAGCTCTTCTCTGGATCGCCAGTACATATTTTTATTAGGAATCAAAAAGGCTGGTGGTCGACTAGTTAGCGTGTCGACCTCACAGTGCACAGGTGCAGGGTTCGATTCCGGCTCCGGATTTCCTGTGTGGAGTTTCCATGTTCTCCCCATGCCTGCGTGGGTTTTCTCCGGGTACTCCGGTTTCCTCCCGCATTCCAAAAACATGCATGGCAGGTTAATGGAACACTTTAAATTGCCCCTTGGTGTGAATGTTCATCTATGTGTGCCATGCGATTGGCTGGCCACCGGTTCAGGGTGTCCCCTGCCTACTGCCCGAAGACGGCTGGGATAGGCTCCAGCAACGCCCCGCGACCCTTGTGAGGATAAGCGGATCAGAAAATGGATGGATGGATTTTCAGAGTAAATTTTTTTACATTTGAAATAGTTCTGAGGTTGGCCATATTCACCCAAAGGTTTGTGTTCATGTTTGTTCGTTCTCTTCTAAGATGCTCGAACATGTTTGGAAACAGGCAGACAGGTCTTACGAAGAAATATCATAGGTTTGATTTTGTCACATGTATTTTGACCAATCAAATCTACAACTGTGTCCAGATGAAGCTGTCTACACAAACGGCATTGTACAAAGAACAGTGGACTTGCAGATCCACTCAACGCTCCAAGTGCCGTTCTGCACTCCGGTGTGAATGATAACCTGTCCCAGTCAAAATAAAAATTAATTCTTTAATTCTCTGATCTCTTTAAGATGTCACCTTTTGTTCACATGCTTCAATAGCTTTAGAAACAAACGCAGCAAAAGCACAACTGCAAATTGCCACCCACAGTCTATAATTTTCTCAAAGGACCCTGTTTATTAACTCGGCACCGTTGTGTTCATTTGAAGCTTTACAAAAGAGGTCACAGTACACACAAAGGGGGAAAATCAACTGCATTGGTCCAATAATATCAGCGATTCAGAAAGTAGATGGATATTTTAATGGCTGTGTGAAGTGAAATTACACTGGCACAGTCAACTCTAATGACATCCAAACACAATAATATTTAGTCAGCTAAGGTGTCATTTTAACATTATAGTATACTTTATTTCCATAAAGATTGGAAACATCGTATTTTCCGCACTATGAGGCCCACCTTCAATGAATGGCCTATTTTAAAACTGTTTTTCTCTATAGGGTGCACCGCATTATAAGGCGCATAGAATTGAAGCTACAATAGTGGCTGCGGTTGCATTATGCATCCACTTGATGGAGATACACTAAAGGGAATACAATACAATACAGCTTTATTAATATAGAGCCTTCACAAACGCAGCTGTAACAAAGTGCTTTCAAGAACATTTAAAATACTGCGTCCAAGAAATCTGACTATTGATCCATACATAAGGTGCATCGAATTATAAGAACATGGAATTCTTTTAGGTGTGCCTTATAGTGCGGAAAATACGGTTCATAAGGTTGTTTAGGTGGACAAAATAGCAGTACAGCAAAACCTATTTGCAATAGTTAAAAAAAAAAATCATTACACCATCCCAATGGGTGTGACTCACGGTGGTACTTTTTTATAATTATGAGGGTGATATATTTATATTTCATGTGTCTCCAAAAAACAACAATATTAAAAAAAAAAAATACAAAATTACCGTTGCCTCTCCCTTTTCCACAGTTCCTGTCGGTTAACTTTAATAATCTCTTCAATGTGAAGTTTCCAAAGGGATGGAAAAAAACAAAAGAGGAAAAGGAACATTATTAATACACATGCCATCTATCTCCATACACGGAGCAAATATTGAAACGCATAATACGAGAGCGCCAGGCATCCCTTGTCCTCTGTCACTTGTGTGACAGATGTAAATGGATGTTTCAGCAGTTGGCTCTAATGTATTTTTAAACAGGCACAGCAGCAGACAGCAAATGAAGTGTCGCCAGCACAACACTCTTACGACGGGGTCCGCCATCTATCCGTCCTTCCTCTCGCTCAGACATACAAACCCCCAATGACAAAAACGCACGCGTCCCTACACACCGCTGAGAATAACCGTCATTCATCAACTTTCTTCGAGCAACGGGCTCGCTAAAGGTCCCATCTTTCATTCCAAAGCGCCTCCACACTGCGGTGTCCAGCCGAGACTGCGCTCTGCCCTGCCCACTGCAAACGCTTCTACCTCGTTGGCCGATGGATGATGTATAGGGAAACCGTTGTTTACTCTCCCAAGTGCAAATTAAAGCCACCGCGGTTCCCGCACGGCAACACAGCAGTGTGTCGGCGCTGATTATACTGTTGCCATGTGCACCGAGAAACACCGGGGGAGAGAGGAAATGACCGCAGACACGGCATATGCAGATGCGGAACACCCCTTATACCTCGCTTGAACCAGGAACCATATTTGGCCCTTGGTTTTTTTTGCATCACGTTATGTTAGGTTACAGGGTGCATGAAAGGGTTAAAAAAAGATTTTGCTGGTAGTTTATGTTTGCTGATTGAGGTTGGTGGGATTGGAGATTTTTTTCAGAAAGCGAAAATAATACAAAAAAAAAATGCATGTAAATAGAATCCGCATCCTAATATGGTGCCAGGATCTTCTCATATCATGTATGTCTGACAGAGTTTTTGTATTTGCTGTGTTTCATTGGCCTGAAGTAGCCCTATACTGGATGTCATAAAGCATTTTTTTTTTTTTTTTGCAAGTCAATCAATGGGATTCAATAGAACCTCTTTTTATTTCTATTTTTATTGTATTATTCTTATTTTTTTATTATGATTAGCTTACACGTTCGAAATCAAGACGATCAGTCAAGCAATTATTTTTCATCATGTTTACCATGTTAACCCTTTTGGGGACAGTGGTTACTACAGTGGACAGCTAATCATGTTATCAGGTTACAGGGTGCATGAAAGGGTTAAAAAAAGATTTTGCTGGTAGTTTATGTTTGCTGATTGAGGTCGGTGGGATTGGAGATTTTTTTCATAAAATCATACCAAAAAAAAATGCATGTAAATAGAATCCACATCCTAAGATGCTGCCAGGATCTTCTCATATCATGTACGCCTGACAGAGTTTTTGTATTTGCTGTGTTTCATTAGCGTCCCCATGCTCTTCCAGATTGTATAATCCAGGGGTGTCAAACTCATTTTTGTCGCAGGCCTGATTTGAGTTACAGTTTCCCTTGGGGGGCCGTTATGACATAAATAAGAATAACGATTTATTCACCTATTGTTGAAGTTATTGTAATGAGGGGTTTGGGAACAAGAAAATGCTGACAGTATCGCTCTTATTTTCTACAAATGAAAATTGGAAATTTTGGTACAGCTCTTAGCAAGCATCATGAAAATTGACATCTTTAACTTACTTTGGCGGGCCACAACAAATGGTATGGGGGGCCAGATCTGGCCCCCGGGACGTGAGTTTGACACATGTGGTATAATCATTGAGCCATCTTGTTTTGACTTGAAATGCATCGCTTTTGGATTGCGTTGTTTTTTTTTTTTTTTTTTTTTTTTTTTTTTTTTTTTTTTTTTTTAACTGTTATATTTTACATCTACGGTCTTGCAAGTCAAGAAGAGCCAAACCTTGTTTTGCAAGCCCCATCCTTTGAAATCTTTCTTTCGCCTGGATTGGGTTCACCGCAGCCGCAAACACGTTTTCATCTTTTTTGCAGGATAATTGTGGATTTTGTCTTTTACAGATTCAAGCATCTTGCTTTCCTTTATGTCCATGACTTTGATTTCTTCATGTTTTTTGAATGAAAGCGATCTTCCACACTCACGACCAAACAACTGAGAAAAACTGCTCCTGCATTTTTTAATGCAGTCTCGAAGAGAATCCTCTTCTATGTCAACATTGACACTTTTATCGTGAATGATCTCTTTCATTGTCATCCCCGTGCTTCGAACAATCTGTATTAGGTAGGATGCAGAACATTCTTTTTCCCCATGAACACTGAACAGATCTGTCATTGCTTTTTGTCATTGCAGGTAGCCATCCACACAACTATAACCATGTGGCTTTAGGTAGCCCCATACGCACCCCTAAGAATGGTAAGACAAACTAGAGGGTGGGGGGGGCATTCAAGTCAATTCACAGCTCACTGTCTGACATCAAGGCATGGGCCTGTCCATTAACCTGATTACAGAGCTTGACACGGTCGTACGGAAAAACTGTTCAAAACACTGCCTTGCTTTCAAACTCCGCTGTGTATCATTCTGCGATTGGAAATAAATGTTTTCTCAAGGGTGGAATTGTTGAAGCTTCCCATCCCCAGTTATGAGCAGGAAGCAGCCACTGACCATCTCGGAGGGGGAAAAAAAAAAAAAAAAAGAAAAATAATTGGCTCGAGGTCAGCCCGTCCCCTGGCTGACGGGCCGTATGAAACCTTCGACGTTCCCCCTGCTGTTATCGGAGAACAAAAAGTAGATCGCTGTAACCTCATGCACCGCTGCGACGGCGCATCAAGGGAAATTGTTTTCTATTACAGCTGTCACTCACACGTTTGTCCTCATGACTGCCCCACCCCCACCCCCACCCCACCCCGTGGTCGCTAATTGGCTATGTTGCATAAGGATACGCAGGGGTAAATCTCTAACAAGCCAGGCAACATTTTTTTTTCCTTCATATACAACCAACTCTGATAAGACACGTGAGGAAGCCAAGATTTGAAGCACATTTTAAAATGTACAGTGGGGGGGGGGTAAGGGGTGGGGGGTTGTGACAAATATGGACACAACCCTAGTAATCAAAAGTAAAATTCATTTTACTTGTATGTATGTAAAACATGAAAAGTCAATTCCAACAACACAAGTACAAAAACCCGAAAAGAAGACTCTCTGACAGGCTTCACATTTAAGCACTTAAGGTTGTTTTTTTTTTTTTTCCGAGATAAAGTCCACTGCCAAGAAACTCCCAGTGGCCTGTGACAAACATGCGGGAAATAGCACAAAAATGCACATCATTTGCACTTCCTTTATCACAAGCCTAGAAGATGAAAAAAATAAATAAATAAAAATGAAAAAAAGTGATGAAATTCCTTTTTATGAGGGGGGCTTTCGTCGCAAGCTTGTGCTGAATATGAATTAAGCCTGTGTTTGTGTGATCGTCAACATGTGACTGAACTTTTTTTTTTTTTTTTCTACTTGGTTTTGGTAGCCCACCGATCATTGAGGCGTGGTAAGTTCAACTGGAATGACATTTGTGTCACCATACACACCCCACATGTGTTCTTCCACAAAAAAAACAAACAAAAAAAATGTCCTGTTTGGTGTTTGTGTCAGACCCAGGGAACCAGATGACCAGGCTGTCGTAAACAAGCCAAAAAACTTTCGGATAAAACGGTTTTCAGATTGTTCCTTTTGTTCGCAAATTCCACAAACACGTGCTATTATGTAGAACTGAGGGTAAAAAAATTTTTTAAAAAAACCTAAAACCTTCCCGTCTTGTTACATTTAACGTATTTTCCGCACAATAAGGCGCTTCGGAGTATAAGCCGCACCGTCAATGAATGGCCTATTTTAAAACAGTTTTCATAAAAAGGGTGCACCGCATTTTAAGGCGCATAGAATACAAGCTACAATAGTAGCTGCGGTTTCGTCATGCATCCACTAGGTGGTGCTACGCTAAAGGGAATACAATACAAGACAGTTTGATTTATATAGAGCTTTCGCAACCGCTGCAGCTGTAAACAAGCACTTTACAGAACATTTAAAATATGACGTCCAAGAAAATGCGAACACTGACTCATATAGAAGGCGCGTCGGATTATAACACGTACTGTCGGCTTTTGAGAAAATTGAATACTTTTAGGCGCAGAAAATACGGTACTTGTGAAACGGAATTCTTGGATATTTTAAAGAGGTGCAATAACAAAGGTTTGGCAGAGCAACACAATATATTTGTTGTCATCATCCCCAAAAGATTCCAAATGCTGCCACATAAAAAAAACAAAAAAAAGCTCGCTTCAAGCCTCGTTTCATCTACGGATTTTGGGTCATACTTGTTTCCGTCTCTTCATGTTAGCCAAACTGCTTGGATGATGCAAGGGTCAGGGCTCTGTGGGGTTCACACCATCTGTTCCGGGATTCATCCTTCTTGTCTTTGAACGAGTGTTTTTACACACCTGCCAGTGAGTTTGGCAGGTTTTCACCTGCGCGCCAGTGAATCCGGGATAAGACATTGTGTGGGATCGCCCAGTCCTATTGGGTTGCGTCTTGAATGTCTGATGTGTTCAATTTCTTTATTTTGTCAGGGCAGAGGAATTATAGTCAAATTCTAAGTTTGGAATTCAATTTGCCAGCGGTAAAACTGGAAATACAGCAACAGATTCAAAAAAAAAGATTAGTGCTGAACCAGAGTGTGCATTAGTGAGCATTTACGTGTTTGTTTGGTGTGCCCTTCAACTGGCTGTCCAAATAGTGTCGCTACTGCGGACTCCAGCTCCCTGCAAACCTGAACAGGACAAGCAGTGTTCCGCCCCCCCCAAAAAAAAAAAAAAAAAAAATGATGTCCTCTGCTAGCACAATTTGCATACATCGGGAGTGAGCAAAACATTTTGTGTTGAAGGGCCACTTTTGATTTTTAAAATGGACAGAAGGACCGTTTCATTCATTGATGAGGTAAATCAAAACAAAAAAAGTTTTCAAGCGTTAGCATATGATGGATGGCAATGATTTAATCGGCCAAATTCACAAAAATGAACACGTTTTAATTCACACTGTTAATGAAAACATGACGAGGTTTTAAGAAACTACTCTGTTAACGGTTTGTGCAGGCATCTTAAATGAGTTCGTCGTCATCTTTAAATGCTTGGATTGCTTTTCTGGGCGACAAAAAAAAAAATGGCTCATTTATATTGAATTGAATTCAAATTGTGAAAATAAAATTTGAACATTTTTTTTTTAGATGCACACTGCAAATTTTCCTGCACCGCACTCACTCGCGTTTTCGACCTTGCCGTTCTCGTGATTTTTTTTTTTTTTTTCTTAGAGCTCACCCATTGGTTCTCGGTTTTGTCATGTCACCTCAAAGACCGAGCGACTTGTGATAGTGTCAAAAATGTTTTATCTTATCGTAAGGCCAACACTAGAAAAAGAAATCATCCAAAACAGGTCACATGACCGTGATTGAAGTAATGGGAGGGCACTGCGACTCCAGTAAAACTTCGTTAGCCCGACATTGGAAATTGTAAAAGAACATGAGCAATTTTAGATGTTGATTCAATGACAAGCTGGATCAGATCTCGTGCTTGCTAAAATGTATACGAAGCCACCTTTTCGCGCACTTCCCAAACATGCATGCCACGCCATCAATTTTGGAGAGGGGGGGGGGGGAGGAATTCGTGAACCAAAAGACGAATACGACATTTTAAATGTCACGCCATTCTATTTGAGCGTCTATTGCGATGACATTCGTTTTGAAATCGAGAACACTATCGCGCAGCCTGAGTCAAGTCATCCCTTATTGATGCAGTCCGCACACATCCTTCACAGCCCTTCCGGCTCCCGGGACCCCCCATTGTTGCCCCCCAACCCCCCGCTGTCCGTGCTCAAGCTTTCCTCCTCATTTCACTCTATTTTTTTTTCTCCCCGTCATCATTTTGCCGCCTCTTTTATCCTTTTTTTTTTTTAAAGCTCTGCTTATCTCCACAGTCTTGCT